CTGATTTTTAGGAGTTAACAAACAGCCTAGCAGTTCTAAAGCCAGCCAAATAAATATTTTCCTGAGTTGTGTACAAATACGTCATGAGACGATTGTCCTTATAGGGTTTACAAACAAGTGGGGAACTCCTGAATTCGGTTAGAAAGACTTTTAGGGACTTCATAGTCCACATTATCACTGTACTATGATTTTAAAAAAAAGAAGAGGTAGGGGATGTGGCCATAGATCATGTAAAGACAGGGGCTGCATTCTTGTCATAGATGTCATTTACTGCCAATAACGAGAGTGTAACGCGCACAGAAAGGTGCGTTGTCTTAGCTACGTTGCAACACAAGAAATAGTAAAATCTGGGTCTGTTACTTTATTTATTTGCTGCCTTTTGTACTCCATGTGTTGTTTTTCTTCTTTTCCAAAAATAACTGTGCAAGCTGTGCAATGTGATATTTGGTCATCAAGCTCCTTTCATCTCCTTAGCCTCCTTTCCATTTTTATCACTGTCTGGCATTGATTATGAATCTGAAATGAGATCTGAGTGTCCAAGAGGAAAGAAGATGGCCCTAGCTTTTTGGTCCATCTGTAATTTTCACTGTGGAAAGTTTAATAAACATTCATATTCATCAATAAGGCCCTTCAAGTTAAATTATTTCATTGGTTTACATTATTCAGTCTCAAAAATCATTAAATGAAACACAAAAAGGGCCAGCCTGCCATATGACAGTTTAGTATAGGAAAATAGTTCTAGAAAGACAAAAATGTATCAAGAAATATCTTGGGACATGACAGGGGATAGAAATAATTTTTTTCACATCTTCAGAAATAGTTGATTTTTGGAAAAAATATTACAAAATTCTCACTCTTGAGACCAAATAGCAAATCTAAATGTTTGTTAGAGAATTTGTCAGGGAAACCGTTACAGACCTGTAAGAAGTGTGGTGCAATGTGCTATAATTCCACTAGATGACAGCCAATTCAACAAAGAACTCTATTAACGGACTGTTCAAAGGGAATCCCAGGTCTTTGGTTAGGTGGGACCTACTACTGCCACCGCTTTCTCCCTGCAGTCAGTGCTGCTGTTCCTTATCATTGTTTCCTACCTCCTCTTAAACGCTAGTGCTGCTTTCCAACTGCCTCCTTTTCCTCCAGTATCTTGGTATTTGATGCTCCTCACGTAGGCAGAGGTTTATCAGGTTGGGCTCTGTACTATGCTATGCATCATCTTTAATATTGTCAAGTTTTGCGTGATTGAGAACTTTGTTCAAGAAACCATTCAAAGATGCTTAAGCCTTACCTATGTGTACATTTCACTGCTTTGTGTTGGTTTTTTTTCATTAGATACAGTCTAAGCTCACTTATATGGTTAAAAATACTGAAGAAAACAATAAAAGTAATTGCTAGGAAGAAGTTCTTCTTTCTCCATACATATGAAACCTCATGTTTTTCATGTTTTACTTATGCCATCTATATTTTGACTATAATATTGATTCAGTTTCATTTCAATGCTCTTGATTGAATTCCAGCCTATCCCATATCAGCTGGTATGGCACACAGCAGAGTCCAACCGTAAAATGAGATTTATTTTAATCTTTAATTTTCTGACTTGTCACTTGCAGGAAAAGAAAACTATATCAAATTTATAAATTAAGATTTATATTAGAGCTCCAATTTCAACATGCCTGCGTGATTCCTTAGTGAATTACAATGCTTACTAGCCATTTTGCCATATATTTTGCCATATATTTACTTACAGTGTTGGTTCAGGCCAAAGAATATTCTGTATTTCATGCAAAAAATAACAAAAACTGGACGTTATAAAGTGTTATAGAATAGATTTTAAAGCCAGAGCATTATCAGAGGTGCTTTTAGGCTAAGATAAGTGAGAGAGATATTTCAAGGGAAGAGGAATTAAATAAAAAGAATATACAGGAGAGGCTGTGGAAGGAATACATTTTTTGAACTTTTATATTTGGAATTAATCACAGAATAAGATCAGACTGCTTCAGGTCCCCACAGGGCATAAACTTAGTCTGCCTGGGCAGGATTAAGTTCACCCATTTGCTATAATTGTAATGAAGAAATAATGTGACTTCACTGCTCAGGAAAATGGGGCCGCCCTGCAGGAGTGTTCTTGCTGGTGTTACACCCATGCTGAGGCTCCTACCTGCAGATGCAAGAACACTTTGAGTTAACATCCAGCGTTTGGGCAAAGTTCACTGCACACAGGGCTAGCTACTTATCAGCATTCCTCCATATCATAAGGCTTAAGAATTTTGTAGTCAGAATATTTTTTTCAAGTTTATTAAAAATTCTCATGTAGTCAGGATATTTTTTCCAATTTTATTAAAAATTCTCATGTGTTTCTATTACGAAATATTTGTATTACACTGGTTTAGTTCTTTTATTTGTATTTTGTAATTCGTATTTTTTTCAGTGATGTATTTCTGAACTGCTTCCTTGAGCCTTAGTTCTCAAAGCATGTCTAGGTTTCAGTGGGTAGGCAAAGCATGCTTTGTTTTTCCCTCAGTATTTTAGTGTGTGTATAGTGATGGTAACCATTTCTTCTCAGAAATGGCAGAGGGAGGCAGTCTCCAAAGCACACAATGGTTTGGATTTCAGGGATTTTTTGTTTGTCATGCTACCAGAAATTCTCTGAGGAAATTAAGTTCCTCATGGAAACCACATGAAAAGGGAAGTGGCAAATCTTACCATTCAAATTCTCCCTGTCTTAGCCATATCTAATTAGAACTCCAGCAGATAAAGTTTGTGCGGCTCAGGGTGATTCCATCCCAAATAGCAGAAACTTAAAAACAAGGAGAAACAATGGAACTTATAACAGAAATTGTTATGCAGTTTAGGTGTGCGTTGTGCTCTCATTCTCCCAAAGTAGTTGTCTATGAGGTTGTACAGTCAAATCAAACAATCCATTCTGAAATACATGCATATTATAATGCCCTATTGTACATGATGTAATTTTAATTTTAATGATCATTTAATGTTGGCATAGCTTTGTTGTTTAAAGATACATCCCTTCATGCTGAAGCACAGGCTCTTCCCAGTTAAAATAGGTCTGCTGCTTGGAAGACTGTAAGCTTTAACTTTAGGAAAGAAGCATTTAGAAAATAAAAAATTTTAGGGGATGAAAAGATCACTGTGTGATTGAATAAATCCATGGTACTCCTATGTAATTAATATTATCTGTAGCTCTCATCTCTTCCCTTCTCCTTAAAGAGGATATGGTAGAACTGGCAAAGTTTTGGAGAAGGATGACAAGGACAGTGTAAAGCAGAGAAGGGCTTCCATGCCAGTGACAGCAGGTAGATTGGCTTCTTCAGCCTGGAAAAAGGATTATCAAATGAATATACAATGTTAGAAAAAACCTAGTGGCATAGAAATATTGTGATTATTCAGTGACTCATCCAGTATAAGAACTGGGTGGCATCGAGGAGCCAGATTTAAAACAAACAAAAAGCACTTGTTGCTCACATCATGCAGAGATAAGATGAAAATCTCCATTCCCCTGGATTTTGCAGATAATGGAAGTTTTGCATGAGTTCAAAGATGGGATGAGTTCAGGGAAGCATCACCACACTATGACTGGTGGATTCTTCTGTCCCCAGGCATCTGGTGATGGCTGGAAGTATGCAGAGCTAGATCAGCTTTTGGTCTGAGTAGATATTGCTGTTCTGATGTTCCAACTACATTACATAATTTTTCTAACTAATGCAGCGTGAAACACGAAGTCAGTTGTCTTGTTTTCAGACTAATTTTTATTTTCTAATATTTGTGTGCAAAAAGAGGTAGCATGAAGATGTAGATAAATATCCTGAGGTTTAGACTGGATATTAGGAAAAACTTATTCATCGAAAGGGTTATCAAGCATTGGAACAGGCTGCCCTGGGAAGTGGTTGAATCACCATCCCCGGAGGTATTGAAAAAACGTGTAGATGTGGCACTTAGGGACATGGCTTAATGGTGGACTTGGCAGTGTTAGGTTTATGGTTGGACTTGATGATCTTAAGGGTCTTTTCTAACCTAAATGATTCTATGATTCTATGCCTCACTGTTCATCTAAGGTTCTGTTCATTGCCTCCCTGCTCTGGGTACTGCCCGTCTCCTGCCATCCTCACTGCCTGCAGGCAGATGGGAAGGTGCTCCGTAGCAACGTCCAGAAAAATTAGCCAATTGAGCTCATAACATTGGTTGAAATTTTTCAGACTGCCTTAGCTGATTTTGCCTGAGAAAGTAGTCATAAAGCTGTTCCTCTTGCAGATCAGTGTTGATGAGGAAGGTATCTCCTCCTGCAAGAGAAGGAAATAATACGTAACATCCGTGGATGCAGCTGGCTGTGGAAGGAGATCTATGTCTATGGCCTCAGCTCAGCTTAACGTGAATTTACACCCATTTGTTTAAACCTGGCTAAACCTTAGACTTGTGTTAAACAAAAAAAATGTCTTGTGAGTTGGAGCATTTACCTGTCAGTCTACACCAATGTAACTAACCCAGCTTTAACTGAAACAGATCAGATTTGTGTGGCAGCAAAGAATGAGGGAGGGAATATATTAAGAAACTGATAATTTCCATCAGGAAGGAAAGTAGCATACATGTCAATGTATAATGTACCATCTATAAGTCCAGTTGCGAACCTGCATGTGATACTAGTAATTAGCTACTTCCATAAATATTTCCACTGGAGTTAGACTACTTACACAAATAACTGCTCATTGTTTTAATTGACTCCACAGACTTCCCAGTCTGGCCTGATGTTATCAGACTGAAATTATAAATTATTTTGAATGTACATTCATACAAAAGTTGTAATTGAAAAGATATTATTTTAACACATACTCTTCAACATATAATAGTTTTTGCCTCCAGCAATAACAGTGTAAATAGTTTAATATTATTCTAATCATGAATTCATACCTTTAATTCTGTAACAATGGCAGAGAAAAATAATGTGCTTAATACTTTTTTTTCCCCTTTGTGCTTGAAATTCAAAAAGCATGGGCTTGAAGGGTAAGACTGTGTGACTGGTATCAAAATCTTACTGATGCTTTTCTGAACCTGAATCTTTTTCTAATTATTGGCTCAGTGTTGCTGCCAGTTCTGTTTACTGTCTTTGTCAATGATCCAGACGAGGGAATCGAATGCACCCTCTGTAAGTTTGCAGACAACACCAAGCTGGATGGGAGTGTTGATCTGCTCGAGGGTAGGGAGGCTCTACAGAGGGATCTGGACAGGCTGGGTAGGTGGGCCAAGGGCAACTGTATGAGGTTCAACAAGGCCGAGTGCCGGGTCCTGCACTTGGGTCACAGCAACCCCATGCAGCGCTACAGGCTTGGGGAAGAGTGGCTGGAAAGCTGCCTGGCAGAAAAGGAGCTGGGGGTGCTGGTTGACAGCCGGCTGAATATGAGCCAGCAGTGTGTGCAGGTGGCCAAGAAGGCCAACGGCATCCTGGCCTGTATCAGAAATAGTGTGGCCAGCAGGACCAGGGAAGGGATCGTCCCTTTGTACTCAGCACTGGTGAGGCTGCACCTCGAATACTGTGTTCAGTTTTGGGCCCCTCGCTACAAGAAAGACATGGAGGTGCTGGAGCATGTCCGGAGAAGGGCAGTGAAGCTGGTGAAGGGTCTGGAGCACAAGTCCTATGAGGAGCAGTTGAGATAACTGGGTTTGTTTAGCCTGCAGAAAAGAAGGCTCAGGCGAGGCCTTATTGCTCTCTACAACTGCCTGAAAGGAGGCTGTAGCGAGGTGGGTGTTTGTCTCTTCTCCCAAGTAACAAGCGACAGTACAAGAGGAAATGGCATCAAGTTGTGCCAGGAGAGGTTTAGATTGGATATTAGGAAAAATTTCTTTACTGAAAGGGTTGTCAGGCATTGGAGCAGGCTGCCCAGGGAAGTGGTTGAGTCACCATCCCTGGAGATATTTAAAGGACGTGTAGATGTGGTGCTTAGGGACATGGTTTAGTGGTAGACCTGGTAGTGTTAGGTTAATGGTTGGGCCTGATGATCTTAAAGGTCTTTTCCAACCTAAATGATTCTATGATTCTAATTTTATAAATGCAAGGGATTAAGATAAAGTTTAAAGGGGCTCATTGGTATATGTTAATGAAGTCGATCCGTTGAAGTGTAGTTTCCTCAACAGAGATTTTTATAAATTTTGTGTCTTCTTAATTAGTCTAGTTGATGCATCTTCATACATGGAGCTGCATCTCGTCATGTTCAGAATGAAATGTTACTACTTTTTGCATCTGTCACTCTGGAAAGAGTCAGTGCAGCTAAGTATCACCTCTCTGGATTCTGCACTGACTTGTATATGAACATTGCTGTTTGCTAAAGAGATACTGAAGTAAAGGTGCTGGCATTAGTCTTGGGAATCTGAGTTCCGACTTTTATTATTATTGCTGTCGTGAAGCTGTTTCACAAGACAGTTCTCAGCCTGATTTGACCCAGGTTGCAAAACAGACTTGTAATTCCCTTTCTCTGCAATTCTGTGTGTTGGATTAAGGCTGTGATATTACTTGCAGTTCTACAGTTTGAAAACATCCATATTTGTTGAACTATTCTGTAAATTTAGAAATCATGCCAACTTTCATTTCTATCTGAATTAGACTGTTTATTTATCAGATACAGCAAAAATACAAATTTTCCACTTTTTGAACTTTATATATCCAATTTTGTATAAGATGAATTTTAAATTTAATTATGTAGTAGGTAATTGAAGAATGCTAAACTTATTTTGATGTCCCATAAACGTACATATCTTTTGTTACAGCCTGTCCCCTTCCCTCTTAAAAAGGAGTGGACACTAGCGCTTATCACACTAGCTAGGGCTAATTGTTTTCCTCTGTCTCAGCTGTCTATAGTTGTGTCTTAACATAATATTACAAACTTTTCAGATTCAGAAGATTGTTTTTGTTCTCTCCCTGCCCATCAAATTGGAGTCTTGGTGAGGACTCTTCTGTACTACCATACTGTGAGGAAGTGTATTTTTTGACTGGTGTCAACTCTATGTTTCACATATAAGTATCGACAAAAATGCCTCCACCCATGAAGGTCTCGGGTTTTGGCATTGTTCTGCTTAGAATTTCTGACACTGTGCTTTTCCCTCTGTCTAAATTCTTCCAGCATGTTTAGAGGAACAAATAAAGCAGCAGCAGCAGCCATAAACATGAAATGCATATGCTAAAATATTCAGCAGTTCTTTATAGATGAAAAATTGCTCTCTATTTATAAATGTGTATACATGTTTATGTACAGTATTTCAGAGTTTATTTCTTGGCATCTATGATGTTTACAGTGGTTTCACAATGTTTTGACTCCTCCAGGAGGGATCATGAAATTGCTTTTTTTTCCATAAGCAAATACAGCCGCTGAAATCTCTCTAAAAGTCAAAATGTTCCTGAAGGAATTCCAAACAGCACTGAAGAAAGTCATAAACTCGCCAGTTTAAATTTCACTACCTTTATAGACAAGTGACTTTTCAACCGGTAGATACACACAATGCAACATTTTTATATACATCTTCCTACCACAATTATAAAAAGAAATTAAATTTTTCTTAACTGTCAGCTTTCTGGCTTTGGAATGCAAAATTGCTCTGGTTGTTTCATTGGAGATATCTGGTATATACTATTGAAATTTTTTCTTGATTTTATTACAGTTGTAATTTTGATTGTCCTTGATTTATAATAAAAAGCTCTCTTTCAGCAGAGAAAGGCTGAATGATGTCAAGACTGACTAATTTGAGGTGGGTTCTGCATCTTTGGCAGCTGATATGTGTTTTGTAATGATTTTGTCCAACAGCAGAATACGATGTTCTCTGCAGAGTAGTTATTCTGCATAATAATTAATCTAGAAAGACCTGCTGCTGTCAGGTGAACACCTGCAGAAGTTGGCAATCTTTCTCCCAAAATTTTGAACTAAAATACTGTGATACTGATTTGTCTATTCATTTAATCTAAAGCCAACTTCAGAGAACTTGTGAAGGAATTCTTGAATTCCTCCATGTGCGCTGTGTCTCCTCTTTCCACTGTGCTTTGCTCTGCAAATACTCTATGGCTCCCCTGACTCCCTATGTCATGGCAAGATTTCTGTGTGCCTCGGAAGTCCTTCTGACCCCTCTCTTCCTTCTGTAAGATGCTTATTGCCTCTCTTTAATCATCGCAGCTGTCTTTACATATTTCTCCTGAAATGTTTGTTTCTTGTTTTATGCTGCCTTCTTGCAAAAGGTATTTTAAAACTCTTTGAATATACAAAGCTCTTAATGTGGTGTTATGCCAGAAGACGTTTTTGGCAGCTATTAACTGGCATTTGATATAATGACAAGTACCAACCTGATAGACATTGCTGTCTTATCAGGGTACCGGGAGCATTGTATCCCCTTGTATTCCACCTCCCATTTCCCTCTTCATCTCGGCATTTTCACACACTTCAGACAGTTCTGATGATCGATGCCTGGGAACATAATTCTCAAGTGCTGGACTGAGATAGTAAACACAAAGTGAAGTTACATGAAGTTATAGTAACTTGATGACATTAGGTCTCATCTTGTTCAGAAGTAATTAATAAATATCCTTGATCTAGCTGTTCCTAATGCAAGAATCTTAAGAGATTTCTATTCCTAAATGAGAGCTATAAAAGTGGGATTTTCTCAAATATAATTGTAGGAAAGTTATCTTTTCCAACAACCCTACTTGTTCCAACTTTCTTTTATTTCTCTTTCTGTGTATTTATTAAAAAACTGTGTTACCTAATTTGAAATCTTCAGGATAAAGCTTATACCAAGCTATGATTATAAAATTTGGATTTTAGCCTCTTGCAAAGCTCCTTCTTTTGGGGAAGAAAAAAGGGATTCCCACACTGTACTAGGGATCAAAATAAAGCTTGAATCCTGTGAGTTTTATTATTACTCTTGAATTAGCTGACTTGGATATTTTTCAAGGTTATTTCAGAGGTCACAGATACTAAACCTGTAACCTGGTACATAACTGAAATGTTAGTACTACATAGGAGCTCTGACATGAGGAGATTTCAGAATAATTATTTTTTCCAGTATTTTTGTACCTCCTGTTCTCAGATTTTATATCATGTTTTCTCTTTTTGTATGGTTTCGGGGTTTATTTGTTGGGTTTGGGTTTGGGTTTTTTTAAGTATGGCTATGCAATGACTTAAAAACATGAATAATGATATTAATCACACAAGTTAGACCAGTTCTTGTACTCAAGATCTCTGTGTTCTGTGAAGGGGTTCCTTTTGCAAGGTCAACAGACACTGTGAAGGATGGGCTTACATTGGATGGAGAGAAGGGGAAAAACATTCTTGGATTAATCTTATGGAAATGACAGAGAAAAGTTTATAGCAGTTATACCTATAGAAGTCCCATCCACTTGGGGATTTCCTTTATAAGGACCTGCCTGAAGGCAATGGCTGGACTCCCCAGTTTAACAGATTTCCAAAACTCAGCTGCTCAAAGCCCTAAGCAAGTTAATTTAGTTTTGAAGTTAGCCCTGCTTTGAGCAGGAGATTGGACTAGATGACCCCAGAGGCCTTTTCCAGCCAAAACCTATTATTCAGTGCCTGTTCTTTAAGAAATATTGTTTTGCATGTTGTCTAACATTTATGTGAAAGTAATACAGCCAACTATTAGAGGATTTTAAAGATACTCAGACAACGATAGAGTGATAGTGCAGCCTTTTACAAGTCTTTCATGAAGTTATAACTGTAGACACACCTGGTTTGCTCACGTTGTGACTTTTGTTGTTTGAACGTAGGTCTCGCATGTCGATGTTGTATGCTTTACACTACACATTTATCTTGCACAGTCATATATATCCCTGGATCTAATTAACTGTATTTTTGGGTTTTTGTTACTTCCTAGGACTTCAAACAATGAGTCAGGCTGGTGAAGAAAGTTCCAGTTCCAGTGACACAGAATTGGAAATCAAGAAGGAGCAGCCTGTCTGTGCTCTAGCTCCAACAGTTTATAGCCGAGATGAGGGATCCACTGATGTAACAGCAAGTCCTGCATTTCAGTGTTTAGATGAGGTACCATGTACCCCAGCTTTCTCTATCTATAACAGTGCATACTGTGTCCAAATCAATTAATCTGAAATGTGTATATTTGGTTGTTCGTAATTGAAGGTTGTTACCACAGCTATCTGTAGCTATTTCTTCTCTGATTTTTTTTCTAAGTGGTAAGAACATTTTGTGAAGCAGAAGCATACATGGGGCATATTGTTGCTGGGGATGGTTAAACCACGACAGCTTAATAGATAACCATGTTATTTTTTTCAGTGATCATGGCCTTAAGGGGAATGAGAATAGAGAGGTCTTGTTTTTGAAGTATTCTAGCTATATAGGTAATTGCATCATGATTTTTAGAAAGACTCAATAGCTGCAGGAAAAATCCAAGGTAAGTGGCTCCAGAGGCACTAATAACTGATGATGATGGAAGAAACCTTTTGGAACTCAGTTTCTTTTGCAGACTTTTCTGTGTTAAGGAAACTTTTAGAATACTAGAAATATTTTAGAATTTAAGATATCAAATACATATCAAATGGAATCCTTAAAAATGTAATGCCAGAAGAGACATTAAGAGATCATCTAATCCAAAATTTACACTGAAGTAGATTCACTGCAGATATTTGTCTAATTTGTTCTTTAAAAGTTTAACTGATGGAGATAGCTCTTTGGGCATCCTCTTCCAGCATTTCATCATTGCTAGAGTTTTTAAAACAGAAGTTTTTCCTAAATCCCAGTTTAAATTTCATTTGGAGTGAATAATACAGCTTTCTTCCTGCCTTTCCCACAGTGACAAAGGAGAGCAATTTCTGCCTCTTATTAATAAAAATATATGTGTCTCATATCCTAGGCAGGCTTTGTTCATACATCACATTTTTCTTAAAGTTCTTACTTTAAGTTGCTTTACCCTGGGCTCTTTCCAGCTTGGATCTGCCAGATCAGTTTGCTAGCCCAGCTCTCTCGCTCTGCCTTGGACCTAAGGTCAGTAGAAAGGAAAGGGTGAGAATTTGTAGTGAAGACGAAAATAAGTCTGTGCCTTTCCTATCCCGCTATTAGATCATACTGAATATAGCATGAAGCTGCAAAGTCAGTCTCTCTCTAATCTCTTGTGCATTCAAGTGAAATACACAGGAGGGAGAGAGATTTTCTTTCAGTCCCGTGCCAGTATATGGTGAGCCCACAGCTTCCAGTATTGTTGTAGCACAAAACCCCTTTCTTCTCAGTCCAAGGCAGCTGGAAAAGTCCAGGACAGCTCAACTCTGAAAGAGAGTTGAGGTCTCACCTTACAGAAATCCTCCTGTCTACTAAAAGTGTGGAAACTGTGCTTTGGGAAGAACTTTATTTTCCAGCTACTCCTGTACTTTTTCTATACATTTTCAGTTGTGGTAGAATTTTTGATATGTCAACAAGTACAAGATATCCTCTACCCCCCACCCTTCCCCAAATAAAATAAATCTAAATGGTATAACATTCTAAAATATATTCTACATTTCTGCTTTGTTTTCCTTATTTGTAATCATGGTGAAAACTTATTTTTCTAGTCTTATTCTAGAAAATTGTCAGATTATTTGACTGATTTTGTTTTTTCCCCTCCAAAAAATCTTTCCAAAGAGGTTATTCTGTGTGTCAAATTTAAGGCCAACTTGTTTAACTCTGATAACATTGTAAACCATTAATGGGAAATAGAGGGTAACCTTAGTATTAGAAGTTGTTCCCAACTCAGGAAAAAAATGTGCAGCGGAAAACCAAAGTAAGCAATTTGCATAGGATTTCATAAATGAGGTCTCTCGGTCATTTTGTCAATTTTTAAAAGGAACTATGACTCATTTATTCTTACCATAATTTTTAACAGTTTGTGCTTGTGCTTTATGGGTCACTTCGGCTTTTCATCACTTATTCACATTTCTTCTCTTCCACGGACGTGTTTGTTTTCCTTTCTTGAACTTTATGCATAATTCAGAGATAAATATGTGACTTTGGTCACCATAGAGGTTGTTGCATTGACACTGGCTTCAGGTTCTTGGAATAGCTTCAGAATTTTTCCACAGAAGCAGAATTGTATTGTATTATCTCTGGTTTACTGGCTAGTCATTTATGCCTGCATAGCAGCAAATACTTATCAGAAGGGACACCTTTTGATATTATAAGATTTATTTGAGAACAGATATGTCGCTCCTAGCAGTAAACCTTCCAGTCAAGCCAGTCTTGTTTCTCTCATGTAAACAACGGATAGCCAAACATATAAATAGCAAGAAGTCAAACGCGCACACACTCTTTCCTTCATTTTTAATAACACATAGTAACATTGTTTAGCCTTGTGGGCTAGGTAAAAATATTAAAAACTGGACAGAGGTTTGAACAAAAGCCACTGAGTTTGTCATGACTTGCTTCTTTTCACCAAGTGTTTTTGTTTATTACCAAGTTGACATCAGCGTAACCCAGTACTTCCGCTGCTGTTAGAGGAACTGTCATACATTCACAAAATGAACTTTCCACTTCTTTTAGCCTTTGTTGTTATGTCCTTGAAATAAAGACCTTTGTTCTAACACTTCTAATTAAATTTCTTGACTTGCGAATCTTTCCTCATACCCTGTTTTCTTCTAGCGTACGCCATTAGAAATAAATCAATCTGCGTCATGTTAATAACTTTCATGGAAAACTACATAGTCTACTACCTGTGTGATGAAATAAATATGTTACTTGGCTAAATGCTACATTAAGATGCAATAAATTATGCTGTTTTGGTTTTGAATGTAGTGCATTATAGACCAGGTATATGGATGTGGTAGCTTGACCCTGGCTGGCTGCCAGGTGCCCACCAAAGCCTCTCTATCACTCCCCCTCCTCAACTGGACAGGGGAGAAAATATAACAAAAGGCTCGTGGGTCGAGATAAGGGCAATTTAATAAAGCGAAAGCAGAGGAAAACAGATGATGTTATTCTCTACTTCCCATTGGCAGGCAATGTCTGGCCACTTCCCAGGAAGCAGGGCTTCAGCACTCGTAGTGGTTACTCCAGAAGACAAACGTAAAATAATGAATGCCCTCCCTTCCATCTTCCTTTACTTAGCTTTTATAGCTGAGCTGACGTCATATGCTATGGAATATCCATTTGGTCAGTTTGGGTCAACTGTCCTGGCTATGTCCCCTCCCAAGATCTTGCCCGGCCCCAGCCTGCCGTTGAGGGGGGGCAAAAATGTTGGAGAGGCAGCCTTGATGCTGTGCCAGCGCTGCTCAGCAGCAGCCAAAACACTGGTGTGTTATCAATACCTTTCTAGCTACCAATACAGAGCACAGCACTACAGGGCTGCTGTGGGGAAAAATAACTCCAGCTCAGCCAGACCCAATACAATCTGACTCTTAAAAGGCAGCAAAAAATGTATTGAATTTTATGTCATGTACATTGTCTATATTTCAAGAGCTATTAGTTTCATAAAATGAATATTTACTAGTAACTAGCTTCAGCAAAATGATCTGAATTTATACTCATTCTTTGCACGCAAATTTATGGGGTTTTTTGCAACAGATGGTAATATAATACATTTTAGCTCTCCCTTTATCCGTGTATCAACCTCGTTACAACACTACTATTACTGCTAAAGCAGCACAGGACATACAGAAATTGCCATTTGAATAGAAAAAGCAACAGACCATGACATGAAACTGGATTAAATGCTCAAAATTACGAGATTAGGCAGAATGAAAATAAAAAAGACCAATTAACAAATTGCCTTCTGCCCAGTCTCATAATTTTTGTCCCAGTAATTTTTGCCTTTCCCTACACTGTATAGTAGCATTTTTTCCCTCTGGACACTCAAGTTGTTCTTTCCTTTCCTCCACCTGATCCAGGCTTTCCCATTTTAATGGGAGCATAAATAAATAAAACATTAGTTGTCATAATGATGCTGTTGATGTTTAGTTTGTAATCTGTTATAGTCTTCAAAGCCTTTTCTGTTGCTTAATTTTTGTTTTTTTACCCAAATCACAATTAATGTCAGACATAAAAAAGACACCTACTCTATACATCTTTCTGATTTAATAGTGAATCATTGACAGCTACACTTCAGGAACAGATTTCCATTCACTTTATCTTTGCAAAATTTTGAAGATTTAATAAAGTTGATGAATTGCTCACAAAATCTACTGGTTCATCTTTTTGATTCAAGAGACTATCCAAAAACTAGTATTCTTCAGGTTCTTTCAGTTAGGAGGAGAAATCAGTCATGGAGCCTAGTATCTTTTAATTCTGTATAGTTAATTCTGTTTATTTATAAATCAGGTATAAGCTCTTCTTTTTCTGGGAAAAAAAAAAAAAAAAGAAATCAAATGGTGGGAAGGTAGCTTCTCCCAGTTTGAGGTCTTTTTCAGTTAGTATTATATTAGCAGTTCTTGTTAGGCTTTACTCAAGAGTGATGTCTCTGAGCTTTTCTGTGCTGTACTTTTTCTTCCTTTTGTTTGTTTGTTCTTGGATTAGAAAGATAGTTTTTAATTCACTCAAATGTATACACCTGTTTTTAAAACAATACCAAAAAAAGGATTCTGCAACATTTATCTTGCATGTCTTTGTAGTGGATGCTATGAGGGAGCTGTTAATTCTGTAAAATAGCATACTTGTGAATGAAAAGTGCTTTATTATTTCCCAGATTCAGTGAGCGGGTACCTTGTTTGGAAGGTACCACAGTAATCCCTTTCTGCTAATGAACATCATCCATTTATGTGCTAAACCTAAACCTGCAGCAGAATAAACTCCTTTGGGAGGTTTCTCTGATTGGTCTAATGCAGACTGTTCCACTCTGTATCCTATAAAGACAAAATGGACTGTGCCTCCTATCTGATACCAGCACCAAATCTTTCATTTGCACTGCTTTTTTTTGATGGAAATTGTCACTATCGTGCTATGTTTCTTTTTGCTGGTGTCCAAGCATCCTATTGCTACCATCCATCAGGAAGCAGAAAGAACCTTTCATGAATATTTTTCATGACTGTTTTGAAACTTGGAGCCTTTCTGAGGTTAATGAACTTATT